AGCACTCCCTGTGTAACAGAGATACGAGTTTCTGTTTTGGGGAGGGATGGGGGTGACAATTACACAAGTCAATATTTCCAGCTAATGTATAAAAATAGCTGCCTGTTATTTTGCAGCAGCAATTCATCCTGGGATTAGTGCCAAGAGGAGCAGCAAATATTAGTTAGGTTTTAAGAAGAGAAGGAAAAGGAAATGCATATAGGGAAATAATACTGTTCATTACAATATAGAACTATGATGTGATACTTTATTTTATTTTTGTTTGTCAAACATGTACAAGATAACAAGTATAGATATGAACATAAACAAGAACAAAGGAAGTAAATACAGATAAATGGGGAAGTAAGACAGGGACGATAGGCACGCTGGTGCACTTATGCACGCCCCCTTTAAGGACCTCTTAGGAATGGGGTGAGATCCAGGGTAGACAGTTTGAGGTTGACATTTTGGGAGTTTGAGGCTATAACTACAGAGTCAGGTAGTGAGATTTATTTATTTATTTATTTGTCAATCGCTTACAAGATAATAGGTATTAAGTATAAAGTACATAAGTAAGAATACAGGAAATAGGTACGAATAAATGGGGACAATAGGACACGGACGGGAGGCACGATGGTGCGCTTATGCACTCCCCTTGCAGACCTCTTAGGAATGGGGTGAGGACAATATAGTGGATAGTTCCAAGCATGGACCGCTCTGTTGCTGAAGTTGTATTTTCTGCAATCGAGTTTGTTTCTGTTTTCCTTGAGTTTGTATTGCTTGTTTGCCCGTGTGTTATTGTGGTTGGAGCTGAAGAAGTCGTTGACAGGTAAGGCGTTGTAACAGACAATTTTGGGTACTATGCTTAGATCGGACTGCAGGCGGAGCAGGTTGTCCAGGCCCAAAATTTCGACCTTGGAGACATAGGGAATTCTATTGTGAGTGGAGGAGTGGAGATTTTGTTACTGTCCGATATACAACTGTGGGTTCCAGGCGGTGATAAGATCTCATGTTAGCCCTGTATAGTTAATAGCTAAGTAAGAACTACAGGTAGTCCTGGAGTTACAAGCAGAGTTCAGCTCAAAATTTCTGGAACTAAGTGAGACATTTGTTAAGTGAATTTTGCTTTGAATTTTGGTATAGGGCAGTGGTGGCTAACCTTTTTTGGCTCCCGTGCCAATAATTGCACACCCAGAAGGCAATGCGTGCTAGCCCCCACACACCCTGCGCAATGCGTGCGTGACCACCACCCCTCGTGCACCACACATCTCTGCATGTGTGTGCGTGATCCCCTTGTGCACCGCACGTCTCTCCGCATGTGCGTGAGACATCGCCATGTGTGCTGTGCATCTCTGCGCATGCACGTCTGTCTCCCACGCACCCCGCACCCTTTGTGCATGCACGCCAGATACCCGACAATCAGCTGTCAGACAGCAACGCATGCATGCATGTGCAGTGGGGCTCTTCTGGGTGACCTCTCACATGCTGGGGGAAATGGCTCTGCGTGCCACTTCAAAGTTACAATGGCACTGAAAAAAATGACTTATGACCCTCTTTCACACTTACGACTGTTGCAGGATCCCCACAGTCACAAGAGGCCAGGCGAGGAGATGTGTGCCTCGATGTGAGTGATGTTGAGTTGGCCACACCCGGCCAGTCACATGACCACCAAGCCACGCCCACCAACTAAGCCATGCCCACAGAACCAGTTGTTAAAAAAATTGAATCCCACCCCTGGTCAGAACCTGCTGAATTCTACCTCTGGCTCAGGTGCCTTCTGGCTGAGGCAGTGGGGTGTCAATTACAGGTAGACTTACAAGAGTTTGTTTAGTGACCATTCAAAGTTACAACGGCACTGACAATAGTGACATGACCATGGTTCACATTTATGACCATCGCCGCATCCCCGGGGTCACATGATTTACATTCGAATGCTTGACAACTGGATTGTAGTTACGAAAGGTTGCAGGGCCCTGGGGTCATATTTTGCAATCTTCTGTCAAACAAAGTCAATGGGGAAGCCAGATTCACTTAACGACCGTGTGACTAATTTGGGAACGGCAGGGATTCACTTAAGAAAGTTGTAAAATGGGGCAAAACCCACTTAACACATTTCTCACTTAGCAACATGAATTCTGAGCTTTGTTTTGATCTTAAACCAAGGATTACCTGTCTATTATAGAAAGAACAGAATAACGGAGTTGGAAGGGACCTTGGAGGTCTTCTAGTCCAACCCCTTGCTTGGGCAAGAAACCAAATATTATTTCAGATAAACGGTTGTCCAATCTCTTCTTAAAAACTCCCAGTGTTGCAACATCCACAGCTTCTGGAGACAAGTTCTCCGAAATAAATAGGTTCCAAAATAAATAAATATCTCATCCAAAGGGAATTTTGATATAAAACCATTGGTCTTGACCTCAGCAAATTAGTGTTTGTTTATCTGGCTATATTTTTATTCCTCGATATGCATTGCCTTCCCTCCGCCTGTTTACGCCATCAGATATCCAGCAAAACCTGCCATCTGTTAATGATTTGCACTGATTCCTGATTTATGGGGCTGTTCTTGGATGCTCTTGGGAGCATAAATCAATTTGATTTATGTACTGCAGCATATTGATCTGCTGACATCCTCTGCATGTGTCATAGCTGCCTAAGAACACAACATTGTGAACCTAACTAGACAAGTAAGACTTTGCAAATCAATTCATGCGTTTAGACATATTCCGAATTTATATATTCTCCATTGGATTACGGTACTTATTTCTCCTATGGTATTTATTCATGCATGGGTTAATCCCTTTCATTTATTTGTAAATGTTGTGAATGTTCGCATATTTGGCTTCTACCAATAAAAAAGTGTGAGACCATTATACCACCTTCAATACCTGGAGAGGTGTCCTTGGCACTGCTATCATAAAATTCACATTTCAGATGTTGTATATAATAAACGATTTGTATTATTACACCAAGAAGAACTAGAGATGTACCAATAAGGGAGAACATTTGTGGCTCAGGATTGAAAGGACGAATCCTTGATGCTCTCTGAGCTTGGTTGTTTTCCTGAAGACGTTTTCATGACCCAACTAGGTATCATCATCAGGGCAAGGGGAGGGTTTGTCTCTGTGTGTGTACAGTAGTTTGACCCATCAGTACTGGTGGGAGTGTTCTTGGTAGCTCCTTGATAAGGTTCCCTTCGTAGCACTGATGAGGTTACCTAGTTTGGGCTGCTAGAAGCTTATAGGGGTTCAGGAGAGCCCCTAGCTAAGATTCTGTGCAGTTTGGAGAACCCCCAAATCCTACCCTGTCCCACCCAGGAGTCCATATATGGTCCGTTTGGGATGCAGGTAAGTGCAGGGCACGTGTGGAGATTCAGGGAGAGTGAAAAACGGGCCTCCTAGAAATTCAGGAAGGCTGGAAATGGGCCTGTTTCCGGCTTCCAGAGGAAAGCCTCCGGAGCCCATGGAAGCCAAAAATGCTCCCCTTCTGTGGTGCAGGAGGCCGAGTAGGCCACGCCTACCATGGCCACGCCCACCCAGCAACCGAGCAGAGAACCCTTTGCTAAAAATTTTGAAGACCACCCCTGTGGGTAATCCAACGTCTGCAAGAAAACAACCAAGCTCATAGAGCACCAAAATCCTCCCAGAATTGGATATAATGGGATGCAGCTAGCGAGTAGATTTCAGTCAGTTCTCTTCAGTTCTCTTAATTATGGAGAAAATGCTTTGTCTTTCAGAGGTCTCGAAACGGAAAAAGAATGAAATTGCACAGCAATGTAGAATGGCCATCAGAGGTTGGGTTAGATAACCAAGTCTCTGATTTCAAAATTCACAGAATTTTAATAGTACCAAGCAGGGGTGGGATTCAAAATGTTTAACAAGCGGTCCTGTGGGTGTGGCTTAGTTGGTGGGCGTGGCTTTGGTGGTGGGCGTGGTTTGGTGGTCATGTTGTTGGCTGGGTGGGTGTGGCCAAGTCAATATCACTCACATTGAGGCACCATCTCCTCCCCTGGCCTCTCATGAGTGTGGGGATGCTGCAACAGTCGTAAGTATGAAAAATGGTCATAAGTCACTTTTTTCAGTGCCATTGTAACTTTGAATGGTCACTCCACACAAGCAAAGTACCAGCAAAGGAGAGGGAAAAAACTCCAGAGAAGTTTCTGAGACAGGAAGTCCAGTCCTGCCAAGAATGTAATAAGGGTTACTGGAGAGGCAGTTTCTGTAAGCAACACCAGAATGTTTCCTTCCTGCCTTCCTTACAGGATTAGGCCAGTAATTTCTTCTAACAACCGGTTCTCCAAACTGCTTAGAATGTTAACAACTGGTTCTGGAGAATAGGTGCGAACCAGTAGAATCCCACCCGATACTATGTCTAAGTCTTGTGATTTTATAATTCTCCAGGTAGTCCTAGGCTTACAACAGTTCATTTAGTGATCGTTCAATGCTACAATGGCTGAGCCATTTGTTAAGTGAGCTTGGCCCCATTTTATGACCTTTCTTGCCAAGTGAATCATGACTGTCGTTAAGTTAGTCACATAAGGTTGCTAAGTAAATCTGGCTTCCCCGCTGACTCAGTTTGTGACTTAGAAGGTCACCAAAGGGGATCACATCAGCCTGGGACACTGCAACCATCATAAATATGAGTCAGATCCCAAGCCTCTGAATATTGATCACATGACCATGGGGATTCTCCACTGGCCATAAGTGTGAATAATGGTCACAAGTCACTTTTTTCAGTGCCATTGTAACTTTGGTTGGTCACTAAACGAACTGTTGTAAGTCGAGGACTACCTGTACTAGAGCTATAGGTTAAATTACGGAATCGGAAAGCACCCTAGAAGAAAGCAATCGACTTAGATTGGCAATATTTGTTAATTTCAGAAGTGAGAAATTTGCTGTCATTTTATTTCTTCAAGCACAGGTGTTCCGAAACGCCATTAGATCATATAACTCAATCCATATAAAACGATAAATCAATTTATCTTAAAAAGGGCTTTAAATTTGGTTTCTTTGTTTGCTTTACAGAGTACGCTCGATTTGAGGCTAAAATCCATGATCTGCGCGAACAGATGATGAATCACAGCATGAGTTCCGGGTCAGGCTCCCTGCGAACCAATCAAAAGCGTTCTCTCTATGTCAGGTATTATTATTATTTTATTATTTATTTGATTTGTCAATCGCTTACAAGATAATCAGTATTAAGTATAAAATACATGAGTAAGAATACAGGAAATAGCTACGAATAAATGGGGACAATAGGACAGGGACAGGAGGCACAATTGTGCACTTATGCATGCCCCTTACAGACCTCTTAGGAATGGGGTGAGGTCAATAATGGTTAGTTTGAGGTTAAAAGGAGTGGGGGTTTGAGGATGTAGCAGCAGAGTTAGGTAGTGCATTCTAGGCATTGACCACTCTGTGGCTGAAGTCGTACTTTCTGCAATCAAGTTTGAAGCGGTTTACATTGAGTTTGTATCTGTTGTGTGCTCTTGTATTGTTGCAGTTGAAGCTGAAGTAGTCATTGACTGGTAGGACATTGTAGTGGATAATTTTGTGTACGACGCTTAAGTCCAACTGTAGGTGGTACAGTTCAAGGTTGTCCAAGCCCCAAATCTCAAGACTGGTGATATAGGTTATTCTGTTGCGAGCAGAGGAGTGTAGTACTCTTCTTTTCTGGACCCGCTCAATTGTATTCATGTCCGATATGCAGTGTGGATTCCAGACAGATGAGCTGTATTCGAGTATTGGTCTAGCAAAGGTTTTGTATGCCCTAGTTAGCAATTCAATATTTCCAGAGGAGAAGCTTTGTAAGATTAGATTTACAACTCTTCATGCCTTTTTGGCAATGCTGTTACAGTGAGCTCTGGCACTTAGGTCATTGGATATGAGAATTCCAAGGTCCTTGACAGAGTGAGGAACATCAACGAAGTCACATCTGCCTAGTTTGTATTTGGGTGTACTGATTTCTTTTACCAATGTGTAGGCGGATCAAATGCCGCCATTGGACAGCAGTCCATGGTGGGTGGAAACTACATCCAAAATGGCACATAGATTTCTTTTTGAAGTTGAAGAAACGGGGCAGAAAGAAGTGGAAAGGGCTGCGGTTTAAACAGGAAAAATAACTAAATGAACGAAGAATTGTCAACCTTTCCCCTTCTTGAATTATTCTAGGTAGCCCTCGACTTACGTCCCCAGCTGAGCCCAAAATGTCTGTGGCTGAGCGAGACAGCTGTTAAGTGAATGTTGCCCTATTTTATGACCTTTCCTGCCACAGTTGTTAAGTGAATCGATGCTGAACGCAGACGCAGGCCGCCAGGGACGATTCTGTGCCATCCGCACTCCAAACTGAAGTGCAAATGGTTCCCGCAGGTTGCAATTTCTCTGGAAAATTCAGATTTCCAGAAAAATGGCAGACTACGGGAATCACCTGCGCCCCAGCCTGAGACTCAGACAACACAGGCTCACCCCAACAGCCCAAGCGTGTGCCTAGCCATGAGGGACATGGGGTAGAAACCATCTGTCCTGCCCGGGTTGGAGTCTGATTCTGAGGGGCAGATTGAACAGCAGACAGGGAGTGGGAGTGTGGCTCCCATGGTTGCGGAAGAAATGACAGAAGGGCACAATCCAGCTGGGCATTCAGAGGAAGACCCAGGGCCACCCTCTCTTCATCCTAGGGCACGCAGGGAGGAACGGAGAAGGGAGCAATGTGGCTTAAGAGAGAGAAGAAGGCCCTGATCCCTTTCATTAGTTGCAGCTGGGAGAACAGGATATAAGTGGGGCATTTGCATACAGCACCTTGCTGGAAGCAAAGCATGCATTATCTTAGTCGGGCCTTTTTCTGGGTTTTGGCGTCCTCCCAACTGTGGGTGCTGTGTTATCTTGTGGAAGTCTGCAATTTATCATCCTGGCCTGCCGTGTTAATTACTTCAGTGTGGTTTGTGTTGGTTTTTTTTATTTCTAATTATCTTTACCTTGGGCTCGGACTGCATTTCTGCCTTTCATAGACTGTTTTTTGAAGAGTTTGTTATCCAGCCGAGGATAATTGGACATTGGGGCCAAGTTGGAGGCATTGAATTTATTCTACTTTGGAGACTTTGTTATTTTTGTGTCATGCCCCGGGTCATCACACCATCCTGAAGAAAGGACAGCCCCACAACACAATCCCTTCCTGATGCCAAGAAGGCCCCACACTCATTTGCGCCACTCAGGTGACCCTGAGGATACAGATAAACCACCAAGCGGCCTCAGCAACCCTCTAAAAGAATGCAAATGACTGGCTGCCTGCAAGGAGTATCAATCCTTCCATTCCCCCACCATCCAGACCGAGCTGAAGAAGCTTCTTGGATGAGAAGTGAAACGTCTTCAAAGAAACACCAGAAAGTCCAGTTGCCTCTTGGGAAAAAAAAAAAAAAAACACACCTCTGAGACACAGTCAATGCAGAAAACCAGATTTACTTAGCAACCATTTGATTTCGCTTAACAATTGCAGTGACTCTCTTAAGCATGGCAAAAATTGGTTGTAAAATCAGACACGATTCGCTTGACCATCATTTTCCTTAGCAATGGGAATTCTGGTTCCAGTTGTAGTTGTAATTCAAGGACTACCTGTATCCTCTCCCACGCTAACTAAGTTGTTCTGACCCAGCACCCCAAACACACAAAAAACTCTGTATTTAAATTAATTATTCCTTTAATTAGGATCCTCAGCAGCCCGGGCAAAAAGTTTCTCTCTTACAGCAGGCTTACAAGTCTGTCCGGCGGGGAGGTGAATAGTTGTCTGCTACACCTATTCATCTCTGTCCCCTGCCTTTTATCCCCAGAACTAGGGTGGGGCTTCACTAGCAGTGGTGGCTCTTCCGTCCCAAGGACCGGCCCATAGATTTCCACTGCTCTCCTCTCCTCTACCTTCTATGCATCTGCATGTCAGGCACTGGACCCAGCTGTTCCTCCTTTTCCTTATCAGCCACTTTCAGGCCTGGGGGCTGTTGATTGTCCATCTGAGGGCTGATGGACAGCCCAGTCTTCATCTCCATCTCTCTCTCTCTCTCTCTCTCTCTCTCTCTCTCTCTCTCT